AGAACTTGACTTGGGTTTAGAACTAATATGTGTAGTTCTGAATTTCAGAGTGCGAACATGCAGATGCTGTGTACTGTTTTCGCCTGTATGACGTGGCCAGATTCAACTGTTTGCCATAAAGCTACACGACTTGCAATGTCTTTCATCAAGGAGGTGTGCACTGATTCTCTGTTCTCTTGTTTGCTGTACTCGAAGCATTAGAACCTACAATGGCGGAGAAAAGTCCGTGGGACACTGACGTAATGCAACGAATTATCTTATTCCACCTCAGAAGTTTGCAAACGTACTGCTATCATTTTGAAAATCACTGCTGTTTCTCCCTCCCCCTCTATAGAGAATGTGGAAACTCAGAAAAATTGCAGCTTCCAGTGTTCAACATTGTAGGTGGGGTGGAGGAAAATGACGTTGTATTCGAGCGTGGTTGTCTGTTTAGCGTGTGCAAAAAAGCGGCAAAAGTGCAAATTCGTCCCAAGACAAACAATGTATAATGTATAATAATATAAGGTATAATGTGAATACAATTAATGGTGAACACACTAATGAGGACATTACGAACATAGAATGAAGACTAACTGAAAGTAAGAACATACTTCAGAAGTTCTCACACTTTCTTCGGGAGCGCAGTTACGGGCATTCGTAGAGAAATTAGGTTAAGTGCGTTCGAGTTTGGTGGTCCATCAGAACGGCGTTTTTCCAGGATTCCGAAGTATTTAGCGACCAGGAGTATTTCCACCCCCCCTCCCTGGATGGGATTCTAGTCCATTGCAGGGTTACCCTTCGCATTAAATTCACCATTACCCATTTATACCCCTGGGTGGAGTAAGGCACAAAGACACTGTGAACGCATTAGTACCACCCTGTGCCACTACTAGTTCTTACATGACTACTAGGCAATTGAATCAGAAGGCCAAGAGGATAGGAAATCAGTCTAGTGATTACATTGATTGTCTTTATAGATTGTGATGATATGTAAGGAGGCTGGGTCCAGGATTGCAGACACCGTCGTGGATCAGTTGTTCTCTCAGGTCTTGAAGGTTAGGGCTGTTTTTGTTTCTGAAGATGCCGTCTCTATTTTTGAAACTCTGTACTTGAATGTAACATATCAAACACGAAAGACGGTGTTTGACCACATTTCGATACACCTGGAAGTTCGTCAAAAACGCTCCTCTACCCGTTGTCTTTTCAACTCTCTTCTAGGTGTCTGGTAATGTGGTCAAACACGGTCTTTCCTGTTAGATATATTACGTTTATAAGATTGGGTGATATATCATATCTTGTTGGAATAAGTGAATCTAATGGTCCAGTGGTGCTTGCTCAAGTTTTGTCATCTGGTGTGATATTTTAGCTCTTATTGTGATGTAACATTTTTGTCTTACTTTCGTGTGGATGACTGAGGCAAAGCACAGTCTCTGTCACCTTCGATATTCCGTCACCAGAATCTCATTAACAAGCGATTGTAATTAAGCGATAGAACTGTTTTCGATCATTGTATTTATCTTTTATTCCAGGGTCTCCATGTTCATGGCCAAGGTTCTACCGAAACATACTTGACTTACACTGGACAGAACATGTACGAACTTCTGGTAAGTGCCTTTTTGTTGACGCTCAGTCCTTGTTACTCTGCAGGGTAGGCATTTTTACAGGTAAACAACAATGAAGAGAGGTTATGAGGGTGAGTCAAGTAAGAGGTGTGCGGGGGGGGGGGGGATAGGGAGACGGGACGCCCCCTCCCCTCCCCACTCCATTAACCGCCGTTTTGACTCGCTTCAATATCATCCTCGTTTTACTGAAACTGGTACAAGACATAACGAAATTTAGATCTCTACATGTTGCTCGTACCACTCTATAAATTCTACTTAACAATTAGATTAATTATGAGCTCCAGATTTCTATCGCGCGATAGTTGAAGCATAGAAATCGAGAGCGAATAATATAATTGTTATAGTATAAATCTACGACTGGTTCAAAACCTGATCTAAATCCTCTTCACAGATACTTCGTTGACAAAACCAAACACTGCTAGGCTACCCGCTGTTCACAGAGTAGACTGAGATAGTGGGTATATAGAGTAGCCAATCAGAGAACGGCAGTCGTGATAGAATGCTAGTAGATTTATGCTAAATACGAATATGACGATTCTCTGCGTGTAAGTCCATTTGTAGAGGTACAGTACTGTAATCTCATGGTTAGACAGATCTCTGTACTAAGTTTAACTCGTTTGACCAGAAGGGCAGCCTGTGAAGGGCTAACAAACCATTCAGGGGAGTAGCAGTACTCCTAGTTGATTCACGATGTGGACTGCAGCGTTAAACCCTGTTACCGGTGGACTAACACACTTGAAACGGACTTAATTTTCATGAACTGTTTTACTTTTCAGAGGCCTCAGTACTCTTCTCTCCAACAAGTTCTCCTTCAAACAAACTGCTCCCTGGAGGATTTACATGTATGTACAACCTTTCGTTCCATGATCAAGAGATTAACTTTGGGTAGTTTTGTACGGAATTCTTTCGTTTAAAGCATGCTAAAACTGTAAAAGACGTTTTCCTTACCCCCAAAACGGGGCATTTTATGTCCAAAATGCTTGAAAGTTAGACTCGATGCCATCCCTTTCCCATTGACTTAATTCGTGCATGTAAATGTTAGCTGACGTAATTATGGCGCAGTAAAACTAGAATTCGATATGTAGTGGACTTCTTTTCCTTTTGTGAAATTAAGTTAAGGTATTTCAACTTCAGTGCAGGGGGTGAGCTTGTGAGGGTTAAATTTCATTGGCCGGCCATTGCTTACTGTGCATACCAATTTGACGCGATTTTATTTATTTATTTGTTTGTTTATTTATTTGTTTATTTATATATTTGTTTATTTATTGTTTCTTTTTTGGAGGCTTTTGAAGCTTCTTGTTTCGAAGGAAGAGAGGTTCCGGAAAAGAGGAAGAAAGATCAGTTCAGGAAACTGGTGTCTGGAATTGTCGGGGTGAGGATTATTAGAAAATATTTTTACATATTATTGCCGCTGGGTTAGGTCATTTGTCAACTTTACAGACTTAACAGTTTTCTGTTAGGACCACCTTGTTCAGGATAATAAATAGTACCACATGTAAGTACTAGTCATTAGCTTTCGCTTGAATGATCATACACTGGACTTTCGTCCACAGAAACAATGAATAAATTGTTCTGAATGCGGACACACCACAGTTAATTAAACGCCTAGCTCGACTGGTTAGTGATTAGCTCAGAAAGCCATGTGTATCACCCTGGCGTTACTTATCTATGTCCGTTACTATTCCATAGAAACCCATTGGCGAGTTGTTCAAGAATGAGATCAAGATCAAAGATCTTCCTCCAATCGAGATTCGTGTCAAGCCTGAACCGACAGGAACTGACGACCTGACTGGACTTGCTGAACTCTTTGATCCATCGAAGAGTTCAGAGATAGCATAAACTAATATAAAGTGAAATCGTTCTCAGAACAAGCTATTTTAATTGAAAGAAACACAGAAAGCTCTCAGAGTTTGGTGTGAATTTTTTTTTGTAAAAAGAACCAAAGTTCACAAGAGTCCATTGCATAGTACGTTTCACAATGCATTGTTTTTGACGATTGCTGTAGATGTTAAATAAAGGTCAAACATGTTTTCCATGCTTTAGTGTTGTTCAAATATGACTTTTCTGTTCTCATTGTATTATTTTTGATGATTGCGGTGGTTATTAATTTAAGAAGGTCAAACACTCTTTCCATAGAGTTGTTGGACGTTTTCTTCTTAGTGCTTTCAGCTTGAAACCAGCAAAAACGTTCAAAATACGCTGTGGGTGGAGAAGGGACAGAGGTGTGCACTTTCCGTTCTCATCCTCCCCAAAATCAGAGTTTGGCTCACTCTTGACATACTCCCTTTTTACTGTTTTCCCCTCTCTTATATTCTCCTAGTAATCCCCTCTCTTATATTCTCCTAGTAACGATTTTATTGAAATTTTCCGTCGTTTAGCGAGGTGACCCAGTGTCAGACGTGGGCGTTCTCGATACATCGAAGTAGTCATTTTGAAACAGGATCAATGAATTGGTCTTTTTAATACTAGGTCCTCTGTTCTAACTTATTTTTGCGCTGTGTGATGTTCAACTGTATACGAAATTCAATTGTCGCTTGTTAGAAGAGTAGCAGAGTAAACAATCAGTCACGAGCTTGTTTATGTTGTTCGCTCTCAACTCATCAGGGAGCTTGTATTTCTAAGTGTTGAAACAGCGCCTCAAGTGAAAATGTGACTCGCATAAGAATATATTTCTTTTCGTTGACTTTTCTTGGCGATTTTTCAGGACTGTATTCCTGAGAATTTCTGAAGCCTTGTTTAGCATATATTTTGCACATGCAGTTACTTTAGCCTCTCGTTCGGGTGGTGCAAAGTAAAGGGTAACCAACATAACGACATCAGCGATTTTTAATTAAAGCTTCCCGAAACTGAAATGTTTTTTTCCATATTAAGCAATTTTTTTTTTTTTTTACGCAGATAACTGATTTTCACTGAGAACAGGGAACTGTTCACCACCGGGCTTTAATGTACGTCTTTATTTAGGGAGTTATCTGTGATTTAGGTGGGCACATAGTAACCACGGGCATAGCGTGAGGAGACTGGGCTCTTCCCGATGCAATAAAAGGGGGATCACCGCATCGCAACTTCGTAAGAAAGAACGTCGACATCTTTTCCCCCATCGCCACATTTTATTTGTCCTACAGTACAATTATTTTCGCTCAGTTGAAGCGCATCCTCAGTGCTAATCTACTGAGCTGTCACGGTTTTAAGCCTGTTTAACTTTTTTGGTAGAACGGCATCACACAGAGTTCTCATTACTGGACCAAAATATAACCCATGGCTTTGATGTGTTTGTGTCCGTTATCTGGTGAGCGCGTTGCCTCGTTTCCACACGTGTTGGAGTCATCATAATACCCTCCTGTACCAAACCCGATTCTGGAATCACAAGAAGAGCAGTCATTTTGATTGTTACCAAGGATACCGATTCGTGCTTTAGTTGGGTCAGAGCTGTCACCAACGGCATTCAGTCCTTCTTTGTTGCAGTAAAACTGTAACGAGGCCTGTGAACCAATCAGCGTCTTCCACGTGTTACGACCCAATGTGATGGAGCGATATTTTCCATCAGCGATTAGGGAGTACAGAGAGTTGGCCTGCTTGTTGATGACAATGAAGTTAATCCGATGGCCGATCTTCATACCAAGACAAATCCTGGAGAAGGGTGTGCTCCAGTAGGTCGGTAACTTGGTCTCTTGTGTGTCAAACCCAGTCTTGCCACCCGGGCGGTTAAACTCGTTCTTGTTGGTCCAGAGTGGAGAATCGTAGTGGAAGGTTGACTACATGAGAGGAAAGAAGAAAAATAAAGACGGGCTTTCAAAACCATATCAACCTAATTAAACATTCGCGACATTTTTTCCATCACAAAACGTCTTTCAATTTTGTCAACTGCTATATGGGAGGGTAAATAAACCAGGATTTTTGTCTTTGTTATACCTTATGGCCATCAGTTTTCATGACCAGTGTCCATCCTCCACCTCCGCATGCGCTAATACTGTGGCTGGTCATGTGACAATAAACAGGGATCTTTCCACTGTCAGTCTGCAGCACGTAATCTCCATTTACTCGCAACCTGTAGAATGGAAATTAGATGTTTCAGGTTCTGGCAAACAAAGTTATTGTTAGTGAAAATATATCGGTTTACAAGGAAAGTTATCCTTGAGGGGTTGGAAGCAAATCATTATTTTAAAACAATTCATGATTACATCTGTAGTCTTGTTAAGTCTCTGATGGATGTCAGTGGCCGAGTAATTGTTTTGAAGTAGAACGTGAAAATACATTCTAACTGTGAACTTACTTGTGTTTGTCATACAGTTCCTTACAGGAAGAAGCGGGAACAACTGTCAAGAAAATTAAACCTATGTGAGGCGCTTGTTATCGAAAAAAGAAAGAAAAACGAAAGCAAAAAATCTTATGAAGATCGATCAATCCAAGTTTATACCTGGCGGGGTAACCAGCGCGATAAGGTTGTCCAATTTCTTTCCCAAATCCTTAATGGCTGAACAGACATTCATATTGTCACACGTGCCAGATTCAGCGACATGTATAGCGACCAGAATTAGCAAAGGTACGTATAAACGAATAGCGAATAACAAGCGCATTTTAAGAACTTAAGAAGATAAAAATGTTTTATGCGTTTAACTGGCTGAGTGTTGTCGATAACTGACTTCAGTGATTTAGCTTTTCCTGTTTACAAATGATATTTTCGTATAAAACAATATGCGCGAATATTTTCTCGCTTGCAGCCACGTCAACCAACCAAACAATTCCAAACTTATTTCTAAGTAATAAAAGTATGCGATCTCTTTTCGGTATAGGGGTGCTTGCGAGAAATAAATTTGTAAGACGAACGACGAAACAGTTGCGAAGGGCTGAAATCTTAACATATTGCGTCGATTTTTCAAAACGTATTGAGGCGAATTTTCGCGAAATACGTTTCATAAATGAGCTCATAAATAGCCGTTTGTTTGCAAGCCGGTGTAACAGAATAATTACGCACGTACCAGACGGAATTGTTCTTTCAAAATTGTTCTTTCAAAATTAGGTAGAAAAGATTTTTTAAAACATCGGTTTAAACATTTGTTACCATTAATCAAATCGTTTTGAGTGATTGCACAATTCGCCCTTTTGCTTTTCAGTGTCATATATAGACGATGTTGCCAGTGCCATTCACTCTTCATGAAACAATCATAAATAATTATATACCAGTGGAGTCAAAACAAATCATTCACTTTCTTTTGAACAACTGTTGGTTTCGGCTGAGCGATCTTGAACATTTCTTGTGCATATGAATTTATCCTAAATAAATTCACTTTATTGGACATTTACTTAAGGACGTACGCATCAATTGTTTCTGTGTATCCTTACTGCACGCAAATTCACACATTATTTCGGGTGTCTGGAAAACCCGAATAGCGAATAGTCGCGAACAGCGAATAACGAGTAGTGCGAATAGTCCGAATAGTCTCAAATAGTGCAAATAGTGGCAAGTAGTGGCAAATCGTAGCAAATAGGGTACTCAGTATCTCGCAGTCAACCTCGCAGCAACGTAGGATGGGATTTTCCCGCTACAACGCACATACGCTTATCAGGACAAAAGGTGTTTCTAAACGTGATTTCTTCTGTTTTAACTGCTGCAAAAGAGTAAATACGTCTTTGTGAGGTTATCCTTGTGTTTTCTGTTTTCTTTATGTCGGCGATGAACAGCCCTAGCCTGAGTCCGGAGAAGAAAAGGTAATAAATTCACTGAAATTCTGTTGCTTATTTGGATAATTAATTAACGCAGGAT